TATTAAAATTCCTCCTTTCATTATTGAAATCGTAGTTATGCATTTAACTATTGTTAAATAGAAACATCATTTATTGCCCTAGAAGCCTTTCTACAGAATTCAACACTTAAATAAATATAAAATAGTTTCCTAATTTTACTCAATAAAACATTTCTTCTACTGTCCTCCATAAACGTATAACCTTCCCCCATATAACCAATTTTTCTCCCCTAAGCACTTCACACATAAGTTATAGTTTTACCTCTATTGAGCACTCTAATATGCAGAAATTTTCCATGTAAATGTATCTGTAAACAGAATTCTACTTTTCGACTTTTCTCAAGCTTCGGAAATAGAGCCCAGAACTTTGTTTAACATTAGCATTTTCGTGAGTATTGTTCAGCATTGCCAATACTGAAGTATTTTGTGTATTTCTGAAACAAGGCTCGGCATGAAATATATATTATATAAATGCACAGAAACAGAAAACTTATATGATAGACGTTAAATTCGCCATCTACAGTGGATGGACAAAAATATGGAAACATCTTGTGAAATGCATGTTTGAAAAGAAAGATTGATTTTAAGGAAATATGTAGGTGGCGCTGGCGTTTTTGACTACTGACGCCACCTATACAACTTCGTAAATGTGCTAAACAGTTCAATTGTTGTCGGAGTACTGTTATGTGAGGTTGTCATTGCATTATGTCAGAGTTAACAGACTTCGAACGTGGGCAAATTGTTGGAGCACGTATGGTAGGTGCTTCCGTAAGCAAGGTAGCCGAGGTGTTTAGTGTTTCAAGAGGTACTGTATCGAAGATTTATTCCGCACATTTGAAAAGCTGAAAAACATCATCTGCTAAATCACAGCGCGGACAAAAAAGTGTCCTGAGTGATCGTGACAGACGATCATTAAGGGCAATTGTGACGAAAAATAAGAAGACCACAGCTGCAAAAGTTACTGCTGAAATGAATGTTGTGTTACCGAACCCTGTGAGTACCAAAACAGTTAGAAGGGAGCTTCATAAACAGGGAATTGCTGGCCGTGCTGCAATTGAGAAGCCACTCATCAGTGATGCTAATGCCCGTAACAGGAAAAGGTGGTGTTTAAGTCATAAAGCCTGGACTATAGAGCAGTGGAAGCGAGTAATATGGTCTGACGATCTTCTTTCACTTTCCATTGTTTCCCACTTCTGGCCGAGTTTACGTCTGGAGAACGCCATCTCAAGCCTATAATACAGACTGCTTGTTGCCAAGAGTGAAACATGGCGGGGTTTCTGTTATGGTTTGGGACAGCCATATCGTGGTTCTCTGCTAGCCCCATGATAACTGTGTCAGGCACATGACTGCCAAGACTTATGTGAACATTTTGGCCGATCAAGTTCATCCCATGGTAAAACTTTGTTCCCCGATGGTGATGGTGTCTTCCAAGACGACAAAGCCCCTGTTCACACAGCTCACATTGTCCAGGACTGGTTTTCTGAGCACGAGGATGAGTTGTCCCATCTCCCCTGGCCACCACAGTCACCAGACCTGAATATTATCGAACCTTTGTGGTCTACATTGTAACGGAAAGTGCGTTCTCGCTATCCACCGCCAACATTGTTATCTGAACTTGCCACCGTTTTGCAGGAAGAATGGTATAATATTCCGTTGGCAAACATACAGGAACTGTATTTGTTCATTCCGAGAAGATTGCAAGCTGTTTTGGATGCCAACGGGCTTCCTACACCATATTAAGCAAAGAAACATGTTTTTTAAAGGTGTTTCCATATTTTTGTCCAACCCCTGTATGTTTCAGCTAAAGAAGGATATAAATTATCAACATTTTGAAGAAGCAATTTTGTATTAACAAACAGTGGCAAATAGACTGCACTTTAGTAATTCGTAAATCCTTTGATTTTAACTATATAAACTGGTATTCATTGAGGTGGAGAGTTATTTTATGTCCTTCTGCGAAAAATTCTGCGCCAGGGCACCGCTAATTTTGTAAAATACTTTTACAGTACGTTCCGTACCTATTCTATTGATTGCAAGTCTGAGGACTTGGACAGTCACGAAAAATCATTAAACCTACAAAGACATTACTGAGACTGTCGTGCAATAAAGAGTCGCGCATTGATTTGGTGATAAATGTCACCTGCGCATCTTTAAATCACAAGCAGAATCGCTTGCAGAATGTTATCGCTCAAATGCCAACCATCGAATTTTCATGCATTACTAATAAATAAATCGCTTGTCTCAAGAAATGGTTATCCAGACTGTCGTATGAGGAGAGACGATTGTGTGCCCTTCCACTATAGAATTTGAATCCTGACGGATCGAAAGCCATAACCTTCAGTACTGAAGGAAACTGGATTTCTGGACGAAAGTAGCATATTCTCAAATGGTAATGATCTGAAGTAGCCGAAACAGGATCCAACCCTGAAGGGTCTCCCTATGTTAGGATGCTGGGCAGTCAGTGGTGGCCTCATTAATTGTCAAAATGTGAGTTCAGGTTTTGCTAGTCATCACTATTTCGTATTTCCTGACCTGCAGGTATACGAAGAGCAGCAGTCTTAGAAAAGCTGATACAGAATCCACCGATTCGATACTCTTTGATTCGATTCTCGTTTGTAAAACATTTTACTCGGGCATCTCTAGTCTCTGAACTCAAACAGGAGCGTTATTCTAAGTCTTTTGGGCTAACATTCTTCACCTACGCCTATGAAAGGACCTACGAGATGACACTTTTAACATATTTCAGGACCAAAGCAAAAAGTAAAGTTCTGAAATTTCCTGGAATATGAAAACTGTTGCATTTTATATCTTCATTATTTTTATGCGCCTTAAAAGAGTCCTATAAATTACCGAAGGCGCAGCAGCGGCCGCGCGAAAAAAGCCCTTGAGTTCGAGCGCGATTCAGGGTTCAAGTCCTGTGGGAAGAGCTGACTATATGGACGTTTTCGTGGTTTTCTTCCTGTATAACCTGGATGCAAGCTAGTGTCCTTAAAACGTCCTACACGAGGCACCCCTTCCTCTCCCTGTAGTGTCAAAAATAGGATCGCGTAATAAATAAATAAATAATATTACTGATGCTTATTACAACATTTGCATACGGACGGAAATATCTTAATTTTTACGAGAAAAAACTTAATTGTTTACAAATGCATATTGTTTTTTTTTTTTTTTTTTTTTTTTTTTTTTTTTTTTATCAAAGTGTACTTTATCGAAACTTATACTGAGATATTCCATTTATGCATTTAAATCTGTAATAATTTCATGTTAGGAAGTACTGAAGTATTTCTTTTCAACATCGAAATTCAGCAACCATAAACCACATTTCTTGAAGCTGAAACATATTTGAAACACAGAACTCTGCAATGAATATTAAAAAATAACTATTATTTTAATATCTTGAAGTTACTCTAACTGTTTAATTTATCTAACTCTCCAAATGTTTGTTACTTTATCCTACTGAAACCAGAATATATAAAAGTGAAAAGTTCTTTAAAAAGGTTTCCTTTTATTTTTCGTTCGAATTTAATTCAAATACAAAATTTTTTCTTTCTGAAATGCAAATAATTTTCGGAATTCACCTCACCTGTAGCAGATATTTTTATAAAAAATTCACTGTAGCAGATATTGTTTTAAAATGATAATGACTGACGCATTTCCATGATCTGTAAAAATTATCTAAGAAATGGAGAAAACTAGCTAGAGTAATAAAACTTGTGGACTGGTGGCTACAAAGCACAAAGCAGAGACATCTTTGAAATCTTGCAAGATTCTTTACAACAAAAATTTATTTAAAATCTGCATCTTGGAGGCAAGTACGAGAACATTAGAAAAAATAACCAGAGAAATTTTAGAAAAATAAAACTCTCATAATACCAAAAGTACTGAAAATTGTTATTTAATTCATTTTAATGACAATGTTTTCACAATATTAATTTTAATACTATTTTTCAATTTTTTAATTAAATTAAATTAGTGTTATTGCAGTTAATATAATAAATAATCGCCATGTATAGTTTAGTACGTGTACGTAGTTTTTTCACATGACTTAAAAATTGAAAAAATGTCTTCAGTAGTTTCTTCCAAGACTGTATTTTGCCTTTTTTTGAAATATAAAACGTATCATCTAATGCAATGATTACGCAACTAGTTTCCCTCACCCTCTCCATGTGTCCTTTTCATCAGCTGTTTCCTCTGTTTCTTCCTTTCCAAAATTACAAAAATACATAGATAAATTTATTTAGAATTAGATTATGTTTTAAGTGTTTTATAAGTTAAATACGCAGTATCGTAAATTTTGATAAATAACAAAATTTGAATAAAAGTACTTTTATGTTCAGAAACTAAAAATTTAACAGCTAAATAAAAGGCTGATCCTGTCCCGCTGAAACTATGAAATACCCCTCTCCCAAGGATGAATTCCTCCGTGATCGAAAACCCCACAATCTAACGCAAAACTTCTTAAAATTTAGTATATATCTAACTTACCTGCCATTTTAAGATATCTTTAGCTTTAGGAAATTGCTTTCTGATTTTAATATCTTTGAAGATTCATTAAATTAGTTGTTAATAATCATTAGCGCAATGATATCTTTGAGAGCATTACATCATTTAGTGTATTCAAAAGATAAAAAAAATATGATAGAAAATGCCACTAAGTTTAAATAATTGCTAATTTCATTTAAAATTTTCATTGCAGGTAAAACATACTTCTTAACTAATGATTTATTAAAAATGAGATACGAAGGAATTCATTAAAAATTTGTTTACTTTAGTAATTAAAATTAACGTATAATTAATATGCAATTCAATTTTAATCTGCACATTTTTAAAACAACAGGTTAAAGCACAAAGAAGGTACAGTGCCAATAAGCAGTTGTATGATTTAAAGACAACATAGAAACATTACAAAAATTAATAAACTGAAAGGATATTCCTTAAAACCAGCATTGCATGCGGAAAGAAACTGTAAATGGGAACTACTTAGAAAATTAGCATGCGAAATATATTAAGTTAACCTTTACCTGTTAATTTTTCCGGTTTCTGTAACGTGTTTGCCGTTAAGACAATTGGAGCACTTTTTCCCTTGGCATTCTTGGCGAACACAACGAGGCGTAAAACTTTCCCACTTGGTAAACCAGACACGAAGAACTGTGGCTGAACGGATGTGAAGTTGCCATGAAGCTTCCTTCCGGAATCATCGTAAACTTCGAGTTGAAATATTTGTACAAGACCGCCATTGTAACCTTCGACGCATTCCACTTGCAGAGAATCCTCCGTGTAATTTACTACTGTACAGTTCTGCAGAGGCTCAGGGGGTCCTGCGGTGGAGAATATATGGGAATATGAATTTATTATATTCCTCTAGAGCATTTCAGAGCTATAACAAAAAGATATTTGCTCGGGAAAAAAGTTGACGGGTTCTTGTGGAAAACAGGTTGAGTAACGGGGAAAATATTTATGTATACTCCAACCGCCTTCCTATGTGTTTTGGATTTAATTTATTACAAAATGATGAAACCACTACGAAAGTTTCGTAATGCACGAAAATCTTGACATGCCGAGCGAAGCATTTAAGTAAAAAATGTATTCTTCCCTATCTCTATTTCGAATTTTCCCTATCTCGATTTTTGTTAGGTATTTTACCTGTATATGATGTTTAGCACTTCAGATACAGGTAAAATATCTAACGAAAATCCCATGCAAGGAAAAAAAACGAGAATTGAATCAAAAGAAGAACATAGATTTATTTTTATATTATTTTTGTATTTGATTGAAGTATGAAAATTCAGAATTAAGTAAAGAGTGTACAAAATACTGCAAGAAATTAGAGAATATTTCGGGGATTTCATGATGGTACTTTCGGATGTTGGAGACATTTTTATTAATTAAACTAAATGAAGGTATACGTTTCTGCTTTCCTTTTTCCTAACATAATTTTACAAATAAATTTAAATAATTTAAATAATTAATTATTTTACAAATTAATTATCAGAATTACATTGGTTTAAAAGATAATTCATACTCACAAGAATTGAGAAATGCTCAATGTAAAATAAAATTCAAACATTCTAGGGGAATTAATGTAAATAAAAGTAATATAATTATTTAAAATTAAAAAAAATAAAATATTGATGCATTTCCAATGAATTTTTAAAAATTATAACTGACTTCTTATGTTTGGAGAAATCTATTACAATTTTTATTCTCATGTACCATATTTACTAGGGCAATATTTGTCAAAATTTTACTGGGCACTTTAAATATTCTTCTAATTTTCTATGTGAATATGCAGTTAATGTATTACATACTTAATTTTATGCATTTTTTTTTTCTTTCCAGAGGCAAGTGTTTTACTCAATGCATTTGAGTATGGCTGTATGAAAATCTGCCCTTTTTTCCTTAATAAATTCAGAAAAGGTTGTATCACACAATCAAAAACATTTTGCGTTTTCAATAATTATAATCTTATGTTTATTTTCCTTGTCGAAGTATGTGGGTGGATCCAACAAGAAAAGATTACTAACATCAGCATTTGAAAAGCAATTATTGTGGAAGGAATACATTATCCCCAAAGTTGTAGGCAGTTGTCTAGCAGCCGTTGGGCACGTAGGTAGAGTTAAGCTCGCAGACGCATCACAGCGATTGAAATGGCGAGACGTTTAGAAAAGTGGTCTCGCTTGGAAGTGCGAGCCATGAATCGTGATCCTGATCTAGTATCTGGAGTGTGGCCATAGCATTACTGCCGATCGTTATTGTGCCACGTAGACAAGATTATGTGAAGCCATCCGATGCAAGAGCCCTGCATGTTGAGTGAGAGTGTCATCCTCCTGCATGGCAATGGCCAGCCCATATTGCCCGTCAAACTCATGAATTGCCGCAAACCCTTAAGTGGGAAGTCAGAAGTACATCCCCTCGCAAGCCCAGGTTTAGTACCCAGTGACTATTTTCTTTTTCCGAAACTGAAAGAACATTTATCTCGAATGAAGTTCTCTTCAGAAGTGATGTAAAAACAGCCATCGCGAACTGGCTCAGTATGTAGAGACGGGATTTCTACAGAGCCGGGTTAAACACGTTGGTCCTGAGTTCAGGCGTTAAACACTGAGTCCTAAATAGATTTGGTGATTATGTGGGAAAATGATAGGCAAGTATTCCTCTTAGTTTCTTTTTGTATTTTCTGTCTGTCTCTATTATTAATGAATAATTTTTTATTACCCATGTAACCATTTTTTGGATTCCTTCTCTTGTAGATAAGTTTCCCTTAACTAAATCCAGTGGGTTCGCGCCATAAATATGTTGAAAAGGAATTAAATTTGCCCATCAAAACCGAAAGTGGGTAAGGTATTGAATATATTAATAGGAAACATTTCAGTGATGTACTGTTTGATAGCAACAGCTTCAACAAATAAAAGTGTGGACATAATGTTATGAATGAACCACAGGAAGCACAGCTGCCTACAGCCCTAGCGGATTTCTATTTTTATTTCAAGTACAGAGTTTTAAACTCTGATTCTGTATCTTACTTACATAAGAAATGACATTTCTTTCCTAAAGATAAGATGAAATGTAAGAAAACAGCAACCGTTGAAATAAATATATCCAAATTTTTTATCCTGTAGACATTTTACATTCTTTGCCTTAGAAAAGCCGGATTAGAAAAGACTGAAAATCATTTTAAATAAATCTTTCTTCAATTTAAAGGCCTGATCGGCTGGATGTGATGTACGTGTTTCCGTATGTATTCTATGTGTCATGTTATGTATTTTCGTGTGTGTTTTTATATTTTTATGTTACGTAATTATGAGTGTGTTTTTATGCTTTTACGTTTAATTTTGCATATCTATGTGTTTCAGTTTATATGTATGTTTTAGTGTTTTAATGCTATCCTTTATATTCTTTTTAAGTTACTTTGTTTTATAAACAACGTCCTATGTAAAATCTACTTGACATCTAGCCCCTGTATGGCCATGTAACCTCCCGGTGGAGCCTCACGGGGCTCCAGCGAGTTATTTCTTCGAGATAGTGGAGGACGTGGGACATATGCCTGTTTACCTATGTTATAAGCCAGGCATCCTCGTCCTCCATCACCTGTCTCCTGTCAAAATGCCCTGTTTGAGGAGTGAAAATGCGAACAGATGAAATTCTTTCTTCCCAGTCCAATCAAAATTTAAAATTAGAATGTAAAATTGTCCAGGGTATAAAAGAATCGAAACACATTAGATGGGGCTGTCTGACATTTTACGTTTGTAGAAACTTCGTAATATATATAAAGTTTATACAGTTAAGAGTCATAAATTATGCTTTATTAAAAAAATATCCGAAAGGAAATTTAAAGGTAGACCAAAAGTGCTCTTTTAAAGTTTAATCGGTAGAAATTATCAATACTGATGGCTGAGGTGGAATAGCAAGATATTTTATTGGATATTAGTTGAATAGCCATTTAGACTAACATGGGAACATTATATATCTTCTGCATATTTGAAAAGTGAAAAAATATAATTCTGTACAACTATGTAATGTTTTTAATTAGATATAGCATAAAATGCATTTTTATTCAAATCAATTAGATTAAAATGTAAAAAAAATAATATTCTTGAGAAATTCATGTATTGCCTTAAATTTGAAAGATAAAATATCTTAAATTTTTCTGAATGGAAACAGACTCGAAAGAAAAAAAAAAAAAAAAAAACGCACTTTCAGTGGGTAACTTCCGTAGATTACGTTTTACATGAATCAACGCAAATAGTTTTTAGATATTAACAAACCTTTTGGACTAATAAGTTACAAAATTTTATTTTCCTTTGTTGCAATAACTAGTAATTCTTATATCACTGATTCTAGTAATGAAAGTCGAAAGCAGTACGCATTTAGACATACCGTATCAAACAACAGTTTATTTTACAAGGGTATTTTAAATACGAGACACCTTTTTCAATTGTTAGTGACTACGTTCTCTTCTGAACTACACTCGCCCTCAAGGGAAATACATTAAAAGCGAACCAATAAAAGCATTTGCTTAGATCTAATTCATATAAATGACTTACTGAAAACTGCACAAATAGTCCAGCTTGAATAAATGCCTGTCTTTCTAATTTTTGACTGTTGTTTTATAAGCTAAGGTTAAATGAAAACAAATTATTTAGTATTGTAATCACATCTAAACCTAATGAGTGCAGAGGCGTTTGTACATTTTTTAAACGAATTTGCGTGTTATAAAAAATGTATCTTTGGAGCTTATTTTGAACTGCAACTAGATTTTTGAAAGTATAAGTTATCGTCTGCCATTTGACAGTTTTTTCTTCTCCATGCAAAATGGTAGGTTTAATGAAGCAATGAATGGAAGGCTATATCTGTGCTCTTTCTGGAGAAAATTATTCGTATCTAATTATTTAAAAAGGTCTGTGAAAGCGACGGTTTTTCGATAAGAAAAGCTACAACAGATAACATTAACAACAAGAAAGAAAAAACAAAACGTCAAAGTTTGGCTTCAAGTTGAAAAATAGTTCGAAATACATATCGAAGGAAAAACCGAATATTTTGAGTATTTCAAAGGTAAGATTTTTAATGTTAAACGAGACGCCGCGAAGTGAAAAGACAGTTACTAGATCATTGAAATGGTCGTCCCAATTGTAAACAAAATGATTAACGCTGATTTGAATCTTAAAAAGGTGTAGGAACATAGTCTGCGTCATCTTTGTCTAAGATATATCTCCGAACGCAGGACACGGTCCAGAATTCTTTATGAAAAACATTTATTTACCAGGACAAAAATGGCAGTAAGTTGTCTGTGAGTCTAATAAAGCCATGTCTTCCGAATTTTATTTCCTAATTTAGTAGATGAATCTCAAGTTAATTTAAATGACTGGAATAAAAAAAGACTCATTTATTATCAAAATGAAAATCTTAAAACATGATTTAATTAATCCAAAAAAATTTTTCAAAGGCATTTATGATTGTTGCTGGTTTGCAGGTAACGGCAAATTTAAATTAATGAGAGTGGAGAAACATTTTAAGATCAACTCAACATATTTTTAAACAATTTTGAAACATGAAATACCTTCCCTGCTACAGTGCCACCAATCAATAGAAAAAGATCGAGACAAATCAAGTAACCACACATCAAAATACACTGTTGATTTCCTTGAAAAAAGGGAACAAGAAGAGGGTATCGAGGACATACCCTTTTCTCATAATACCCTGATACAATCAACATTCAGGATCATTCAGGATATATATCAGGGATATTTACCAGGGTATATTCAGGATATATGTCAGGATATTCATTCAACTATATATATCAGGGTATTGAATGACTCTGATA